CCAACACTCATCTTGTGTACAGGCCAAGGAGGGAGCTGAGCTCAGGGGCCCATCCTTTAGGTGAGCTGGGGTGCCAGGGCCAGAGTAAGGCGGAGCCAGGAGAGAACAGTGGCCTGGAGCTGGGAGCCATAGCAGCATAGACCAGCTGCACTGGCCATGAGCCAGGGCTGATGTACAATGGTAGCCACGGGGCCAGAGCTGGACAGCAGACACCGGCCCTGCCATATGTAATATTGGAGCTGCACGGGATGAGCAACTGGGGAGAGTGAGGCAGGACCCGGGCAGAGAGAGTGCAGGGAGACGTCACCAGACAAGAGGGCCTTGAAGGCCTGACTCAGAGGAGGGGACATGACCCAACAAGGGGGCCAATACTGGAGAGAAGGAGCCTACCATCTGAGGCCATGTAGCTGCCACCAGAGCACGTGCCTCACCCATGGTATCACCACAGTGCAGCCAGGACTGAGCAGGGGGCCTGGGACGTGTATGGAACAGATGAAGAATTTTCTTGAGTGCCAGGCACTGTTGTGTGTGGTGTTACCAACTCCACATAGCAGGAAGTCACAAGAGAACCCCTGAAAAGTCACTAGATGTTGCTACTTAAGCATTCAAAGGCATCAAAAATGTCAGTAAACAAAATTTTTCCCACAGAATTTAACAGAGAATTTATATATAGATATGTGTGTGTGTGTGTGTGCACGCGCGCCCGGGTGAGAGGACACTCCCAGCTGCTGAACAAGAAAACAGCAACAGTGCTGGGCGCTCCCTCTCTGGTTGGATAATCTTGGCAGCTGAATTTATTTTGTTATCATTGACAGGCTCTATTGGTGTCTCTCAGCTGGTTGGGGGTTTCTGGCTGTTCTGGTTACATGGGACAGGGCTGGGGCCCCCCTACTTCTGAACCTGGCATTTGGCTGCCCCTCCAGGCCTCCCTTCAGGGCTCTGCTTCCTGGGGGTGCAGTCCAGATTCCCTTAGACCAAGTTGCCCCTCTTGGAGAGCTTTGGGGGACACAATGCCTCCTGGTGCTCCTCCAGGGGCAGTGCACTTTTACACCACCCCTAACTATGCATACCAAAAACATGATATAACCCTGAGTGACCTAAAATCTGGTACATTAACGTTACTGTCCTTTGGAAATAGAATTAGGCCTTAATCAATGCTTCAGCCATGTCTGTGGTAGGAAAAAAGGTGTGTTCTGAACTTGAGATAAGTGAAGAGAGGGCAGTTTGTGGTTGTAATGGGGCGCTCTTCCCCTTTAAAGGCCAGGGATGCTAGGGAGCAGCTGGCCCTTGTGATAAATGAAGGGGGGTGTAGCTCCCTTTGATAGACACCCAGCCAGCCAGCTAGCTGTAAAATCCCTCTTGGTAGCTGTTCTCTGTTTGCTTTATCTGTAAAAGGTTAAACCCACAGGTAAAAGAAAAGGAGTGGGCACCTGACCAAAAGAGCTAGGCTACAACTTTTTAAAATGGGAAAGAACTTTCCCTTTGTCTGTTGCTAGCTGGGCTGAAGAGACAGGGCAGCAGGAATGCTGTGTAAAGTTTGAACCAGATATGAAAATCTTCAGATCATATCTAGAACTACTTTTAACAACCCAAAGGTGTAAGTAGATCAGAATGTTTAGCTAGATGTGATCAGGTTTATTTCTGTTTATTTTTAAGGCTTGTGGATCTCCTCTGTGCTAACCCCAGATGCTTTTGTTTGCTTTGGTTTAAGCTGAACCCCCAAGAAAGCTATTTTGGGTGCTTAATTTTTGGAATTGCTCTTTTAAAATCTAGCAAAAGCCTAAATTCCAGATGTATTTTCTTCCTTTTTGGTTTTAATAAAATTTACCTTTTTAAAGAACAGATCTGGATTTTTGGTGTCCTAAGAGGTTTGTGCATGTTGTTTAATTAGCTGGTGGCCACAGCTAATTTCCTTTGTTTTCTTTCTCAGCCCTTCCTGGGGGTGAAAGGGCTTGAGGGTACCTCACAGGGAGGAATTCCTAAGTTCTCCTTCCTGGGTCGAAGGATTTTTTTTTTTTTTTGCATTTGGGTCGTGGCAGTGTTTACCAAGCCAAGATCAGAGAAAAGCTGTAACCCTGAGAGTTTAATACAAGCCTGGAGTGGCAAGTATTAATTTTTAGAATCCTTGTGGGCCCTCACTTTCTGCACTTGAAGTGATAGAGTGGGGATTCAGCCTTGAGAGCCCTGTTCTGGAAAGGGCCCAGCAGACAGGTGCTGGGAATCATCTGACTTGGCTGGACAGAATCTAGCGATTGGATCTGATGATTCTCAGCTAGGGGATACGAATGAGGGCCCCAGCTTCTATGGGAAGACTGTGACCAAGAGAAGGATGGGAGTACACTGGTGGTGCTATAGCAGAAGATTGTGAGATGGGGAGCAGGCTCTGCTGGGCTGGGGAAGGTCCTGACCATTAAGCTGCTGGAGGCTAAAGGGCCCCACAGTGTAAGTTGGGGACAAGACTGTTACTTTATATTTTTTACATTTTCTTTGTTGTGTTGAAGAATAAACAGGTAAGGCTTACAAAATGACCAAGGCATGCTGATGGGTTTTCCCAGACTAGTGATCAGGGCCACCAGCCTGTAGTGACTTTCACATGTTAATCGGTTGAGTTGGATGCTATGGGGGAGTCTAGGGTTTACCTTGACCAGCTAACTCCTGTGAAAACTGCATACTGCCATGTCTTCACTAGGTGCTTACCTCACATTCATTAATTTAAGAACTCACCTTTTCCTATAGAAGTCCTTAGATCTGACACTACAAACTCCCAGAGGAATACTTGGATCAGGATCTAGACTTTTCCAGCTTGGGAACTTCTGTGATAGGGGAAAAAAGTGGAAATGCATGGGGAAAGTTAGTGTGAATTTTTGATAAATTGCCAGTATCCCATTATAGTAAGAGGAGGAGAAGAAGAAAATCAGATTCAGCAAGGAAAATACAATGAAAATAAGTACTTGCCTAGTATAGGACCCAATATGCCTACCATTTCCTGTAAGGTGTTGAATGTCCTCAAATCTCACTGGAGATATCACTGAGGGTATTTCCTCCTACCTCATGGTGGTATTGTGAGGATAAACATATTAAAAAATAAGGAGATCTTAAGATACTATGTAAGTGGGGCTATAGAGAGACTCTCAGCACCTTGTAGGATTAGGCCTCAGATAAAAGAAGCAAGGAGTTTGGGTTCTCTTTGCTCACACACCTTGTACAATGTCCATATTTGCTCTGATATGCTGATTGATTGTTATTTGTAGCTTTGTTGAAAAGCGATTGCCAAGAAGCATTTTGACACCTGTTAGGCTTGTACAAATACAGGTTTGCTCATTGAAAAGAGAAGAAGTTTTAAGCATTTGAAAGACATGTCTTGTTTTATGCTTGTATTCTATTTTACAACACTGGAAAGAGCAAGGGAAAAACTTTGAATCTCTTCAAGGTGAAGGGTGTAGATCTGGATTCAACACCCAACTTGTGTAGTTTTGCCTTTTTGGCAGGTGGAGCTTGGAAACTGCTTTGTGAATTTCATAGAAATAACAATGTGGATTTTTATGTTCAGATATGCAAATGATTTCCTATGGGAATTGAAAAAGTAGTAAATGTAAAACCCCTGATGGAATTCTTACTAAGGAAACCTTATACTTCTAAAATTCCTGTTTGATTAATATTACAGACCAACTGTGTGTGTGTCTCTATAATTACGACAATGACTTCTTCAGGTTATATTCTCAATTGGTAATTAAATAGTTCTACTCCTTTCCAACAATCTAAAGGTTTAACATATCAGTCAACAGAGCTAGATGAGCCTCTTGGCTGATCCCAGAGTAAATGGCAGGGAATTGCTTTGCCATCCTAGGAACAGCTCCAGGAGGGAATTGCGCCCTTTATGCCTCCCCCTCCTTCCCTGCCAACTTCATGCAGTGGGAAGTATAGAGCAAGATACCCCTGGTGACTCTGGCAGGCCAGACTCCAGCTCTTTCCCAGGCTGCAGGCATTAGCTAAGAACTGTCAAACTTCTAGATGGAGACTAGAGCAGTTCACCTACATGTTAGTTTTGCTCAAAATAGGCATTAGTCTTACAAGAATATATTTAGTGTTTAGATTCGATGAAATGCCTAAGTTGCTGCATGCATTAATTTTATTTGAAATATCTGTATTCTATGCTATAAGAAAATATCAGTGTTTTGCTTTATAACTTTGAAAATGCTTTCTCTGAACTTGTGAACTCGGGCACAGGAATCATTTTACATGCCCATTCAGAAGGACAATCAAAATCAGATGAAAGAAAAGGAGTACTTGTGGCACCTTAGAGACTAACCAATTTATTTGAGCATGAGCTTTCGTGAGCTACAGCTCATCAAGGATCATTGCAATATCAAGGATTAGTTAATGGCCCTTTTGCACCTGGGAAATGCTACATACAAAGAAGCTCATCCTGTGGGCTTGAAGCTGAATGAAGGGTACGAAACAAAGTCATAGGACAATTTTCCATGTTTTTGGCCATTTGAACTTTGAAGGGCCAGAGACTCTAAACTGAAGCTGGAGATCCCCAGAGTCTGCCTTATGGGTCTTCAAGACACTTTGAATTGACAGGTCACTGCAACTCTGTCACTCTTAGGATTTAGATGGTAACTCATTTGTGTGTATATGTTTGCTTGCTTTAGCCTGTAAATAACTCTTCTTATTCCTTTTTCCTAATAAATAATAAACCGTTAGTCAGTTTAGTACAGGACTTGCTACAGGTGTTGTCTTTTGATATAAGATCTAGGGTACCGATTGGTCTCTTGGGACTGAGAGCAAACTGAATGCAGTGATTTTTTTTTTCCCCTCTGTGGGTGTAAGTGACCATTATCAATAAATCCAGTTTGTCTGGGTGTCAAGATAGACTGGAGAGTCTAAGAGGGCTGTCTGTGACTCCACAGTAAGACAGTTATAGTTATCCAGGAGTTCACATTTGTTACTGGCTTGATGAAATCTAGTTATAGAATACACCACCAGTTTGGGGCATCTACCCTATTTTTTACAGTCTGCTCTAAAAAATTGGGTAGAAACTCATAAATGTTCCTCTCCATGGAAATCTTTAGTAAAAGGTGAAAGATTTATACGATCTGAAGAGAAACCAGGTAGGCACTCACAATCATGAGCCACTCCAGACAGCGTGACACTCCTGTTCTCTCCAATGCAGCCAGATCTGCAATCTGGACAGCTCTGACTGTGCTAAGCTGAGAAGGGTGGTGGGCCCTTAGTTCCTAGCTCCACTAGGTAAGAGTTGTGGGCAATCTAGCCCTACATAAATGCACTAGTCTAAGGTGCAGATATCTAGAAAACTAGGAGAACATATTAGGAAATGATTTTTTCCTGTGGAAAATCTTCAAAAACAAAACACTTCTCTTCTTCAATCTTCAGTATTTTTTGTTTTCCTTTAACAAAACTTTTTCAAATAAAATCAGACTTTTTATTGCAAAATAGCCACTTTCCACCAAAAAACGTTTAGACAGAAAATTTTCAACCAGCTTTAAGAACTTGGTAGAAGAAAACACTGTCTGAACAAATAAACCGAATGGAATTAAAACTATGATGGGTATGATCCTTCAACCATTACTCCTGGGAGCAGTTGTTAGTCAGTGGAAGTGCTCTTGCAAGTAAACACTGGGGGACTGGGCTCTTAATTTTTGTATTATAGGTTTTTTTAAAAAGTGTTTCTTGCAGCTGAGCAATGAGAGATTTATTTTATTCTTTTCAGGGAGATGGTATATGAAGATTCACACAACTTGTTTTATTTATAGTGTGTCCAACTGGTTTCCTGGAAGCCTTTGGAAGCTGGTATGAGGGTTTATTTGCTGGGGGTTCTTGCTTAGTGGAAAAAATATATCCCCTACTTGAGTGGATGAGGAATGAGAGGGAACAGGGATCAAAACTGAGGGGATATGGCAGAGTATTATTCAGTTAGTTGAAACTGTAAAGGAATTAACTTCAGCTGTGTTTGTACCCTGCCCCCATCACTTTTCATGAATATCTCAGTGATTTCACAGACGAACATTGGCTAAAACACTGAATCTTGCAGGGCTATTGCAGAAAGAGAATTTTCAATTCAGTACTCTGAGTCTTCTCACAGTAAAACTGGTCTAAAAGTTACACTGATCTAGTCAAGGAGCTGGAAATGCACCATGTGACCTAGTTGTAGCAGGTAGCAAACTCTCTTCGTTTCTTCTTCCCTCCCCCATGAACACCTTCTAACCTTCCCTGAAGACTGATTACATATTTGAAAGTGGAAAAACTGGGACACACAGTGGTTGGGGAGGGCTGTCAATCACAACAGACTGTTTTGGTGGGGGATAAAGGAGGTTTTGGAGAAGTGGGAAGAAAAAGGAGAACCTCTTCTTTCTCCTACTGTTAAACTGGGACGCTTGACAGCAAAGGACAGGGTAGGGGAGAAGAGCACTTTCCTTTCTGTAACTTCTCCTAGTGGTATAATCTTTCCCTCAGATCCATACTATCTTTGCCTACAGTTCTCCCCTCCTCCAGCACCCCTCTCTCACACACACATTCTCTCCCTACTTCGCTCACCAATTAACTTAATTTCCACTGCAGTCAACCCTACTAAACTAACCCATCCTCCTCCCAGTTCAGAAGTTCCCTTAGTGCCCTCAAATCAATCCTCACCTGTCAGAACTCCACCCCCACCCCGCTTACCCCCCACATCTGTACCCAAGACTGATAACCCCTTCTCTTGCTTCTTACCCTATCCACAGCTCAGAATACCCCTTCATCTTTGAACTCTTTCCCACCAAACAGCCCTATGCTCAGAATACCCTTCCTCCTGCTGCACCTTCATAACCATTCCCAGGTCTAGAACCCTTCCCCCTCCTACCTGACACCCACAACTACCTCCCCCTCATTATTTTTCTTTATTTGTAGATCATTAGCTCAGTCCTCCGGTACTGAGGTGATAAGGGTTATAAGTGCATAGAGAGAGACTTTAATTTAGAACTGTGAATACTGAATTCTCAAAGTAATACAGGGAACAATTCATGAACTGAAATACATTCACACAACATTTCTCAAGCAATTTCAGGTGACGGAAACTTGTAAATGTCTGATCTATATCTGAAAAATTAGTGAAAGGAAAGAAAAGAGCTAAATTTGACAAAGCCATTTATCATGAATAATGTTACCAGCTCTAGAAGTGACTGAGGGGCAACACTCAAAATTTGCACTGTAGTGATTGTATACCCAGTCGCATGCTATGTTTCTCTTTCCTGCTTGGAGGAACATAACTCTTGGATTGAGATTTCTGGTACAAATAGATGCAAATTCAAAATTTGCTTTCTGGGAATATTTTGCAATATTCTGTTAAGTTGCTGTTTCAAGCCATGACAGAAAATTATTTAGCTGCTTAAATTTAAGCATTTGACTAGTTCCATTGCCTTCAGTGGCACCATTCAAGTGCTTTAAATTAAGCACCTGTTTGAGCATCTTGCTGAAAAAGGGTCTCCATGAACATTCCTGCCACTAAACTTGCTTGTTTGAATATTCCCGCTTGGAAGATAATACAAAAGGGACAAGTATCAGAGGGGTAGCCGTGTTAGTCTGGATCTGTAAAAGCGGCAAAGAGTCCTGTGGCACCTTATAGACTAACAGATGTATTGGAGCATAAGCTTTTGTGGGTGAATACCCACTTCGTCGGATGCATGTTGTGGAAAACACAAAAGGGACAAACACACATCAAGCAAATTAATGTACAAATTCAATCAATATTTGCAGGAAATCACTTGCAGTATATGCACAGTTTTAGTTGTGATAATCAAGGAAAATGACTTAGGGCTAAGAAATAACTACAGCTGCATTCGCATTAACCAGACCAGCAGAGGCACAAAGTGTTAAGATGTCTGACATTTCTGAAGTCAGTAGGGCATACAGACAGTGTGGTGTTTTTTGTAATTAGCCCACAATGAGCCAGCATGTACCATTACCTCAGCTTTTAAAAAAATGGAGTGGAATACTATGCTTTTCCAAGGTAAAAGTACACAAAAGGATCATTGTACCCATGGCCAAACTAAAACAGGACAAGTATTCTTAAAATTATGTTCTAGCCTCTAACATGGCAGGATTCTTTCCTCTTAATTATGAGGCACACAAAGAGAAACTTTCCCAACCTTAGACCTTTTAAGAGAGAGTCCCCACTTTCACCAATGAAGGATTTTCCAGTCAATCATTTTTGAGACAGAAATATAAATAAACATTAGGAGACATTTCATATATTTTACTGATCATAAGGAATCTAATCCTGCAATCTCTCCTCACTTAAGGCTAAATGCTGATACCCTTACTCATGTTGAATAATGCCTTAATCCATGAATAGCTCTGCCAGTGTAAATGTAACATATTTATTTGTGGAGTAAGGTGCTAAGGCCTTGTCGAAGCAGAAAAATTGTATCACTTTAACCAGAGAGGTATAATTAAAGCAGTACAGACCCCGTAGGGTGGATGCAAATATATTAGTATAATTGTATAGAAAGGGGAATGAACTAGACTTGCATAAGGCACCTTTATAATAATATAACTGCTGCGGCTGTACCAGTGTAACTATATTGATAAAATAATCACACCATTAATTGTCCTCCTGGTACAAAAACTGTGCAGACAAGGCCTTTGGGTAAGGATGTCAGAATCTGTCCCTCAGTTCTTGCTCATGCAACATTGCCATTGATTTTAGTGGGAGCTTTTTCTGACTCTCAACTGAATAAGGACTGCAGAATATTACCCCAATTATTTAGCTACCTGAAATACAATGTTCATTCTAAAACATCCTTTCTATAATTTAAAAAATGACGTTTAGGAATGCAGCCTGCTCAAGTTCAGAGTGAGTCCAAGTTGATTTTTACCCCATTTTCCCTGTTTTCAGGTTTCATCCTATCCAGTATATGGTAGTACTCCTTTTAATTTTAATTTGCGTTTCACATAGTAATGCCAGTAGGTTCTAGATTAGCCAGAGGGTGTCACTCTTGTATTGGCTCTGTTTAGTTACTATTGCTAAGATATTCAACAGAGCAGAACAAAATCCACTACTAACATTTTTCCACCTGTACTTGCCAAAAAAACAACAACCACCTGATCGGCCAAACCCTGCTGCGAGCAGTCCCAGAGTGCCCTTGGATTGCAGTGGGCTTTGCAGACAGGAGTGCGACATCTGCATTTCCTTAGACCTAGAAGCACTTCTCTGAAACATCACATGAGCTTCCTGGCTAGATTTCATTGTCATAATGACTGATTGTTGCAGAAATGTTTAGCGCAGAGTACTCATGAAAATAAACAGTGCGGGCAGGAAATGAAATGGATTAAAAAGTCAGAATTTGAAAAATCAGTCAATGCAGGCTATTTTAAGACATGCATTTTAACAATTAAAAATAGCACACATGCAGGGATGAAACAGTCTCTTGAAGCATTATGCTAATTGGTAATCATCCATTAGCTAATACAAACATTATGGTCTTTTGAAACCAATTTCTTCACCACTTAATCTTCAGAAATGCCATGGCACTCTAGACAAGAGTAGGGGGAGTTGGCCCAAAGGCACTGCTCAAATTCCATTTGGGTAGCCATATTGTGCCTACCTAACATTTCCATGTAACTTAGCTTGAAACATTATTATAAGTGTAGTGTTGCTATGTTTTATTTAAAGACTCAGACTTTCCTGACCGGGGTATCTACATTCAGTGATTGGTAAAGGGATGCCTGCTAGTATCAGTACATAGTTTGTGATCCTGCTTTAGGATCTTGGAAGGAAAGTGCTCTGTAAATGTCCATAGCCATTGCTCTTGAGGAATAGAGCCAAACTATGTATATCTGAGAGACCAGGAAGCTATGATATTTGGTGGTGAAACTGAACTCCTGAATGCTGTTGGTGGTGATAAGGGATTTGGGTTGTGCTCTTGCCAAGGTCTATTTGTGTATCAGTTATCACAGGGAATATAAAGAGAGCTAGAGATGTTTTAGCTTCATGCCCTTTTCTAAGAGGGATTAACTAAAAACAGTTTGTTTATCTCTTTAGGATTTCATACTGGTGCTCATTACCATAGTAGTTGAGTGCTGAAATCAGTACCAATAGAGGAGTGTATAGTGGACTT